AATTATCGGTCTTTTAAAGTTTCATAGAATCTGGGTTTCGAAACATTTTGTTAAAAATCCATCCCAAAAAGTATAGGACATGTTAAAATTTCCTTGTATGTTCGAAGATGGGTGTTTATTCTATACGCTTTCGAATTTTTACCAAGAACAAAGCAATTTAAAGGGGATATTTTTCGAGTTGAAGTGTTCGTGTCGCCGGTTTGGGAACGGGAATAGTTAGCCTTTGCTTTCATTCCTATCACCTGTGATGACAGTCGCAGGCATAGAGTGTAAAGTGGCCCAGAAATAAAAGATGATCACATACAATTAAATTAGGCAAGTAAATATAATTTTAAAATATAAAATTCATTACAAATATTACTGTGTAATATATTCTATTATTATATATTTACTATAATACACGTCTGGGTCGCCTGTGCTAGGCTCTACTAATAATATTACACGACATGATCCGTGAGTCGTCTCATTGAGACCTTTGATAAAAACATGAATTTCGAAGACTATACTAAATGTGGAATTGGCCAAAAAGCTTAAAGTACTCATTTTTGCAAAATATTTTGGATGTACTTTGACATTTCAAAACATATGACTCGTTGACGCAGCCATGTCGAATTCGAGGGTTAGCCTGCGAACAGGCATTATGAAATGACGAAATTTTAAAATAAAATTCGTGTATAAACGGATTTCTTAAAAATTTCGCATCTTGTAGCAAGTCTTTAACAAGTTGTATTCGCACTGCTTGTACCAAGTTGTCAACAAGTTTGGAACTAACAACTAGTGGTTGTTCCAACAAATCCAATACAGTCATAATATTGTTACAACCTTGTGTCGTCAAACTTGTAACATTCTTGTTTTATCATGACTGTATTGGACTTGTTAGAACAACCTTGTAACAAGTCTGATAATGCCGTCAAGCTTGTAGCAAGTTGTTAACAGCTTGCTTCAATCTTGTTACAACAACTAGGAACAAGCACTCGAGCAGTGCGAACACAAATTATCGACGGCTCGTGAACAGATTTGTAATAACTTGTTCGCAGACCTGTAACAACTTGTCCGTTTTCACGTGTGCAGTCCCTGATCGAGCGAATAGTTACCTCCATGCATAGATGCAAAAAGTAAGTTTACGTGGTAAGATTAACCAGTAAGTCGTGTGTAAGATCCAAGTAATCTTGATTCGTTTTAGGTACTCGACGGCCGACAGTTGGCCTTAAAAATAAGCGCTAACTCCGTATATGGCTTTACTGGTGCTCAAGTTGGAAAACTACCATGTCTGGAAATTTCTTCTGTAAGTATTAAATGGTAGTCTCCGATCATCATCGTGATCAACAGTCATGATAATCGCTGTTTTTGTGTCGCTTCACTATATATTGTGCATAGACGGAAATTAGCCAACACCATGTTTTTCCTAATAAAACTTCAGGGGTCAGTTGTACGAAGGCTGGATAGTGATTTTTTTAAACGTTGTAAAAATGTGATAAAACTACGAATATGTATCCCACATGCAAGTAATAACAGGAAACTTTTATATGTACTAATTTTTATATACTAAAGTTTAATCTGGGTTGTATATCACTCAACGCCCAATTTAAGAAAGCTTGAACCGCGGTCCCAGCTCTATTGAAACTTCTGTTCAATTCTACTCTGGGTGCAGACGTTTTTCCCATATAAATAATAGATATCTATTATTTCTTACACTTATTATACATTTATAATTATTGAATAAGGTTGAGAATGGTATAAGACGGATAATACAAACTGAGGCATAGGAAATTGAATGTTTGTAGTATTATACATTGTAGTGACTTCTGATTGGCCAATAGTTTACAGCTAAATGTCGTAATCATGCCACCTACATAGCCATAGGCCTATAACAGTGTTATCTGCTAGCAGATAACATTGTTATCTGTAGGTTGAGCCAGCAGTAATTTTATAGCAAGAGGCAGTTTTAAGTACTGGTCACGAATAAAAAAAAAAGAACAGCATGCATGAATGCATGAACGTGCTTTATCACAATGCTTCCACAGTACACATACAAGAACAAAGTTTCTTTCAAACGTCATGACATACACCATTTACATACGTCGTTCGTATTTTAGAGTGTTACTGCATTTGGAAGAATGATGATCGATAAAACGAAAGAACTCGTGGAAGAGAAATACACCATTGCAAATGGGTACAAGCACGATGCAAAGGTACACTATCCGATCTGTCACCGTAAATTCTCAATTATTAGTACTCCCTTCAGTCAGATCCTTCTCTTATAAGAACCTGGCGTGCTTTAGATAATTTACAATATATCTTGAAAAGAAGTCACTTTACAATACACTTGCAAACATACGATATTGTGCTCTTTCAAGTGACGTCACGACACGAACAAGAAGAGTTATAATGGTCCACAGCTGTTTAGTAGTTGCATGGTTGAATAAAATATTTTGTCACCTAAAATGGCGGATTACTTTTGATGATACGTCATACTGCAAGAACTGAATAGGGCATTAATTAGACGTGTGACCTCACTGTAAAACAATTTTCAAAACAACCAACACATAAATAAGCCGAAATCGTATTTTACATACTAGAAATACATCCATGCAACAACCCCTCGCCTATATTTTCCAAGCATTGTTTCAACATGAAGTATTCGTAATTACGCCAACACTGAACGCAGGCTCGCGTTGCCACGTCATGTTAGTCATGGCAACACCATAATTGGGTTTTTTTAATTTTTCGTACAAACCTGCAAAAAACAGTCAATTCCTAAAATATATAAAGTAGGTATATTATTTTGGTTTCTATGGACTTTATTTTAATGTAAATTTCAAAACGAAACTCTACGTAAAAGTTTTTAAATGTGAATTGAAATTAACTGCTTTTTGCCGATATTTATAAACTCTTCAACTCGAGCTTCAACTTATTACTCCACTTTGAAATGAAATAAATTTAATTCGTACAGCACGCTAATGAAACTAATTTGCTTTTTTATCATGAACTTCTACAAAAGTTAATTTAACAAAGAAACTTTCACAAACAATGCATAGGAAATACTTGAACAACAACAACAAAGTCTATATTAATACAAACTAAGTCATACATAAACATTTGAAACAAACTTACCTTATACTTTAGGATTTCTCATACTAAATCAATTCTTATAAATGTTTACGTTTAAAAATTAAAAAACGTTTTACAATTTGTTATGTGAAACGATTTTTCAAGCTTTCATTATGTATTTTTTATATTTTTGCCTTCACTCTTGGCAAACAGCTATATTTTGAGATCAGTGAGATGACCACCCACCCAACACCGAACCACGCACGGTAACCTACGCCCGCGATCATTCATGAACTTTAGACTTCGCTAATGCTTTCGTTTCCCCGAGTGTAAATAGCCGGGCGGAATTAGTACCCTCGCCCCGGGCTTACGCCCGGAACGGCGCTCCGCGCCGTTGGCTCGGGGATGAATATTTAATGAAGCAAATAATATTTGGTAACATCCTTAAAATCCTGTCGAATTATATCCACGACTCAACGTTTCAACACTCCGCTATATATATATAGTAACCTTTAGACTTGGTTCAAGTCCGTCTCTCAAGGGGTTGAAAATAGCGATGCATGCAAACGGTCAAAAAAGGCGCGAAAATATGAGAGAAAAGTAGGGAGAGACGGACTTGGATACCCTGCAAGCGCGCCAAATTTTACGGTCGGATTTTTCCTACGGAGGCCAGTTGAGAACAACAACAAATTTTCGCGCCAATTTTTGCAACTAACATTCGAAATGCTGCGAATGTCCCAAGTCCGTCTTTCCCTAATTTTCTCCTGAGACGCACTTGAACCAAGTCTAAGTAACCTTATGCATCGGAGTTTCGTCCATAACTGAGAATAAACTTTCAATTTCAACCCTGTATATACCGTACCTGCATGCGCATCATCATACAACAGAGCATCGTATATCCTCTATATTTCTCTGTATTTATTATATTTGGTCATTTCTGAACTTGAAATACGGGAAAGCCATAAATCTGAACTTGAAATACGGGAAAGCCATAAATCTGAACTTGAAATACGGGAAAGCCATAAATCTGAACTTGAAATACGGGAAAGCCATAAATCTGAACTTGAAATACGGGAAAGCCATAAATCTGAACTTGAAATACGGGAAAGCCATAAATCTGAACTTGAAATACGGAAAAGCCATAAATCTGAACTTGAAATTCGGGAAAGCCATAAATCTGAACTTGAAATTCGGGAAAGCCATAAATCTGAACTTGAAATTCGGGAAAGCCATAAATCTGAACTTGAAATTCGGGAAAGCCATAAATCTGAACTTGAAATACGGGAAAGCCATAAATCTGAACTTGAAATTCGGGAAAGCCATAAATCTGAACTTGAAATACGGGAAAGCCATAAATCTGAACTTGAAATACGGAAAAGCCATAAATCTGAACTTGAAATTCGGGAAAGCCATAAATCTGAACTTGAAATTCGGGAAAGCCATAAATCTGAACTTGAAATTCGGGAAAGCCATAAATCTGAACTTGAAATTCGGGAAAGCCATAAATCTGAACTTGAAATACGGGAAAGCCATAAATCTGAACTTGAAATACGGGAAAGCCATAAATCTGAACTTGAAATCGGGAAAGCCATAAATCTGAACTTGAAATCGGAAAGCCATAAATCTGAACTTGAAATTCGGGAAAGCCATAAATCTGAACTTGAAATACGGGAAAGCCATAAATCTGAACTTGAAATACGGGAAAGCCATAAATCTGAACTTGAAATTCGGGAAAGCCATAAATCTGAACTTGAAATACGGGAAAGCCATAAATCTGAACTTGAAATACGGGAAAGCCATAAATCTGAACTTGAAATACGGGAAAGCCATAAATCTGAACTTGAAATACGGGAAAGCCATAAATCTGAACTTGAAATACGGGAAAGCCATATAGTATCTCCATTGATGATTCCAGCTACAGAAGAAATATTGATCTAGACAAGAAGAACGAAATGCATTACCATAGCTGGAAAAAGCATCTTATAATGAGTAAAATTGCAAAGTTTGGTTGCGAATTGTTGTAAAATGAGGAAAATATATCCCTGTGAAGTTCGCTAATTTTGTATATATTTGTATTGCGCGGGGCATTTTTGAGCCGAAAGTGATTTTTTTACCGCGCGTAATACGGTACAAATATATACAAAGTTTGCGAACTTCACAGGGCTATATTTTCTTCAGTTTACAACATTTATTAGCAACCAATCTTTGCAGTTTTATTCATTGACGCTCTTTCTAGCTGTGGTGTTGGATTTCGTTCTTCTTGCCTTGATCAAAATTTATTCTATAGCTGGAATCACCCACTCATGCAAGACTGTACTGAATACTAATATTTCCTCAATTCCCCTTTCTTTTTCTATATTTCTTGTCCTGCAGGTATAGTGCTTTGCAGCTCATGTGGAAATTGAATTGGAAGTGTGCACAATTTCAGGACTTTGATTTCTTATGTATAGGTTATATATGGTGACACAGACTCCGTTATGGTAAAGTTTGGTACAGAAACTGTTGGAGCAAGCATGGAGCTTGGAAAAGAGGCTGCCTCTTACGTGACATCTCATTTCGTCCAACCAATCAAACTTGAGTTTGAGAAGGTCTGTTTTCCAATTTTATTGCTTGTATGTGGTGTTTTAAAAAAGTAGACAATCTTCAAATGTTCCGCAAATTTTATGTGAATAAATGTTGTTTAAAATTTAACTACTGAATGCGAAAGGGCTGTTTTGCCAACCATTTAAATAACTTGCGCACAAGAATGGAAGGTTTGATTTGCGATTCTAATTAATACTTCACTCCAGATCTGACTTTCACGTCTCACTGGTTCAGTAATCAGTGCGCATCTGATTGGTTAATTGGGAAGATTAAACACATCTGATTGGTTAATTGTCTCTCACAAGTATTGGTATAGTGAAATTCTAACTGAACCTCTCTAGGATCGTAACTGAAGCCGTAACAGGCGAGGAAAAATGTCAAGCAAAAATAAAATATCAACACCATCAAAAGTGATTGTTTATAAACCATCTTGACCGCATTATCGGCAACCAGGTTTAATATCAGACAAGTTGCATTAGGGATAGATCGATTTTATCGTCATATTTTCATTCATGATTATCATCGAAGGTGGAAACTTAGCGGGAGTGTCGAAATGTTGGGTTGTGAATGCAACACGCCCTTTTGATAATTATGAAAACATGTATATTAACATTAAATTAACCACATTAATAAAACATTAAATAAGTTAAATATTGGGTTTGAGTGATCTGATAAGCTATCCTAGGATGTATTTTTGTAACTTGTACAAACTGAACTTGTACTTGGCGGCGATACGCTGCTATTCAGTCGGGACTTTATTTATTATAGTTGTAACAAATGATGTATTTTTCTTTACATTCACTGCATGTTAACACATAAAATGTGCAGAATTTAAACTTTATCGCCGTATTTTACCATAATTCGGAACCGCTACAGTAATAAAGAACAAGTTACAGCAAATGACAAAAGCGGAATGGATAGGTTCTTCTATTTTGATTGTAAACAAGGGCGTACAACACTAAAACTATTACATTTTATTTCAAGGTGTATTTCCCGTATCTTCTAATCAGTAAAAAGCGGTATGCAGGATTGTATTTCACAAAGCCTGAAATACATGATAAAATGGATTGCAAGGGAATAGAGACGGTAAATGTTTTCTACTTGTTTAATGTTTTTTACTTTGTTTAATATTTTCTTGTTTTTTTCTTTTTTTTTCAAGAAATAACATTGTCCTGTAATAGGTGGCAACCTGATTTAAAGGGCATATGACTCGAAAATTGACGGTGTTATTTTTTAGTCTAATTTGAAAGATCATTGAAAACTGTAGAGTAACTTCTTTGATAGATTTTTGTTTTCTTGCTTCGTTTTTGAAGATATTTTAAATTGTATGATCTGCAAAGGACCAACTTCCTACGTCACACATGCATAATGATTTAGCCCTTAAAGCTGTATATCTTTAATACGACTAAACACAATCAGTAGAAAACTTACATGGGTGTTGTTGCGGACAAATCTCGTGCTCATCATTCATTTTGTAATTATGCATGTGTGACGTAGAAAGTTGGTCCTTTGCATATCATACAAAATGAAATATCTTCAAAACCAAGCAAGAAAACAAAAGTCTGTCAAAGAAGTTACTCTACAGTTTTCAATAATCTTTCAAATTAGACAAAAAATGACAACGTAAATTTGCGAGTCCCTTTGAGCACCTAGTTGTCAACGTTTGGAGACTAGTTGTCAATAGTTGGTATACTGATTTATGTGATATTTTGTCATTTCAGGTTCGACGAGACAATGCCCCATTAGTTGCCAGTCTGATCGGCAATTGCCTGCAGAAAATTCTCATTGACAGGTATATCGTAACATTTATTTCTATAACATAATATTTGTTGATATGATATATGTGATATGTTATTAAAATA